CCCATTATGCCAGGTTCACCAGGGGGTCCAGCAATTCCTGGTAACCCCATCTCTCCTTTTTCACCACCTTCTCCAGGAAGTCCCTGATCTCCAGGGTCTCCCTAAAACAAACAAACAAAAAAGCTAAAAAAAAGCTTAGTCCATCTGCTGCTGCAGATTTATTTATTCTTGAGAAAAGTGAATTCTGAATCTTCAATTTTGATAAAACAAACACTAAAACTGATGGGAATCTTACCAGTCAAATTCAGATCAGGCTCCAAGTTAGGGTAAAGCCCTTCATCTCATTCCTACTCTCCTACAGCCAGATTTTGCCTCATCCATCTCTAACTACCTGAAGGTGCCCTCTGTGACATCCCTTGTCCCAGCACCTGCCACAGTCCCTGGCATAGCATTGATCCAATGGAGGGAGCAGGGCAGCCTTAGGCTTGCTCTCTCCAGCACGATAGTCACCACAGAAATAAGCTGTACTCAGTTCTCCAGTTTGCATTTCTCTGTCAAGCCATTCAACTGGTTTGTATCTGCTATAAAAAGTGAATGTACCTTTGTGCCATCTTTTCCTTGAACACCATCTTCTCCTGGAGGTCCTGGTTCACCCTTGTAGAAAGGAACAATTGAAAACCGTTATTATCTAAACTTCTCGACACAGAAGTTTTGCCTCGGCAGAGCTCAGACTAGTTTCACATATACTTCTTATCTTTTGGACAACTTTTATGTTGCTATTATAGTTTGTCTTCATATTTCACTGATTTACAGTGACAGTCACAGCCCTGTGAATCTTGAACACAGGGAAACATAAAAGATGATCAGCATTAGAAAAATGAGGCAATACTATGTCCATATGACACTGGAGATTTGGACAGTGGCACTGAGATTGTTTGGTTTCAGAGTATACAACATGTAATTACGCTAACCTCAAAAATATACCTATTCTGTCCTGAAACTTCCATATTTATGTAGATAACTACTATACTGGTATGTTAACTGGCTCAGTTTAGGGCCATGAGCAGCTCATCATTTACCAATAGCACTGGCACCATGGCATTTTAGAATTTTTGCCTTTCCCAGGTAAAGACACTGGCAACTTGCAACTTTCGATGCAGACAGTAAAAAAGCAAATACAAGTTGCCCTATTCTAATAACATAGTATTGTAGACATAGTGGTATGGTTAAGTCCAGATCACCCACTAAGGACCAGTACCAGGAATTACTCTTCTCCAAGGACAGACAGAATTGTGGAATGCACCTCACTGGAGATTTTGGGCAGGAGGAAAAGATGACAGCAAAGAGCTAACGGAACAAGAGAGTTCAAGACGTAAGTCTGAAAGGATGTAGTTTATGCTCTTTTAAAAGCATTCTGGATAAAATCTCTTTCTAGCACTTTAAAAGTTTTTTTCAGCTTTCAAAGTAAGGCAACTGTTTGGGTCAGATGAGGTGGGTAAGATGCACAGGAAGAATAAGCAAGGGTGCAAGTGCTTAGTAAAATCAAGTGCCGAATGAGCCATCCACAGCACCAGAAGTAAATCAGCTGCTTTAGATGGTGGTACAGAGAGACACCCTTCTCCCCTGAGATCATAATGTTCCCCGTTATTTCACCTAGACTGGGTATCCGTACACAGCATTATTATATTCTGTCATCTTAACAGCTGGGCTGGACACCCTTGGATGCTCAAACCACTTGAGCACACACCCTTCATGCTCAAACTACTCACTCATGTCTCAATAACATGAGAAACTAGAAATATTTCAACATTATAATCAATACTCTTCTTAACTTGCTACAATAGTACTTTTTTTTAAAAAAAAAGTATCAGACAATAGTTTCTTATTGAATTCTTCCGATAAATCAAGGTTTCTCAGCCTGCATTTCTGACACATTTGTAACATACTTTCCATTTTGGAAGAAGATTTGCATCCATAGCTTACCCTTAAACCCTGGTCGCCTGGTTCTCCAGCCTTCCCAGCAGGTCCAACGTCTCCCTGGAATACCACAAGAAAAATCAATCATTGGATTTTAAGGGACAATATTCCTAACAATGACGGGGTTTACATATAATGCAGTCATCATGACAATAACAGTATTTCTTAATGGCTCATTTCCTGTATGCTACATACTTGGCAAATCAGATCACACTGATTTACCTTTATGGAAATTTGAAAATTTCAACATTTACCTTTGCGCCTGGTTCTCCCTGCAGGCCAGGTTCTCCTTCAGGGCCAGGAGGTCCCTGCATGGTACAAGAGCTACTGTTACCAATAATAATGTTGCAACCACCAAATAATACAGCCAAAATTGAAGCAGAAAACCAGAATAAGACACTGGGAAAGATGCACATCTGCAAAATCAAATTAAAATAACACTGTTCTTTTTCTTACTAGAGCCCAACAGAAGAAGAGAAAGGATAGTATAGTAGGAGTTCAGGAATTGCACTCTGGATCAGGAATGTATTGAAGACTCAGCAGTACCACTAAGCCTGTACCTTTCATCATAAATTACTAGCAGGCTGAGCAATCAGCTATCTTTTGTAAATCTGATGGACAGCTTCATCACTGTTTAGGCTTGAAGCCAAGTAGAGTCTTTGGAAAACAAAGCCCCTTTTTGGAGTCTTCAGCCCTTAAAGAGTTAATGGTATTATATTGCTTCTTGTAAAGTTTAAATGTAAACTTTAATAGTCAGTTAGAAGACTGGATTTGGGGTGACTGAGGAAGCGCATTTCTTTGAATAAGCCAAATCCCTTCTGTTCTAAGTGAGCTCATCCCTCAGTTACTTCATTGCAAATGTAGCTAATACATTCTGTCATGCTTCTTTCAAAGAGATACTAAAAAAAAAGTAAAAAATAGAAGCAAAAGTTAGCAAGAAGACCACCTGCAGCTGCTTTTCTTCATCTACCATTTGCAAGGGCACAGGATTAATGCTGTTCCACTGTGTAATGCAAGAAGAATTGTGCTTCCAAAAACCCCAACCCAAAACATTCACCTTCTAGGTATAGATATCACAAATGTATGCCTGAAGACAGCGCTGACAACAGAAAAAGCTACTTATTTTAGACATTTTTTTTTGCTAACAGCTTTAAGTAAGAAAGTTTCTTGGCAGCTTACAGTATTTAAGTCGGTTGCAGGTAATAGAGTTTCTAAACACATTGTCCAGGCTTATTCAGTTGCTTGAGTGTTTGTAATTATTATATAAATGATTAAAAGCTCACCTCAAAACCCATTTCTCCAACAGGGCCAGCATCCCCCGGTTGTCCTCTTGGACCCTAGTATTAAACAAAATTTTGGATGCATCATTCAATTAACATTAAATTATGTTGTATAGTCTTCGTCTCTTCAGAACTCTTCCAATTGGCATACAGAAGTGTAATTCATTGTCTTTCCTCCTGAATCCAACAAGTACCATGATAGCATACAGTACTGAGACTGAGGACCTCACTGCTAATCTTGACATACTGAAATAACAGATTTCAAATAATAGAACAGATGTCTCTTCTTTTAGACCAAAAGTAAATTATTATCTAAACTAAGCTCTCCTCTTGATTAACTGAGACTTTGTTTAATTAAGACTTGTTAGACTGTCTGGTTTGCTTTGTGGAAAAGCCTACAGTCTGGTATGGAATTAACTGAAAAAAACTACTGTGTGCTTCACTATGGATTCAGCAATGTTTACACGGGACAATCACTGAGGTGTAACGGACTAAAGGCTGGAGCCTTTTTGGTAATCTTAGTACCTATACTATAAGCATTTTCTTATAAGCCCTACCATAAGTAATAAATTTATTGCAGTAACATGTAAGGATCATAGAATCATTCAGGTTGGAAAAGACATTTAAAGATCATCAAGTCCAACCATTAACCCTGCCAAGTCCACCACTAAACCATGTCCCTAAGCACCACATCTACACATCTTTTAAATACCTCCAAGGTGGTGACTCCACCACTTCCCTGGACAGTCTGTTCCAATGCTTGACAACCTTTTTGGTGAAGAAATTTTTTCCTAACATCATTTCCTAAAGCAGCATGCTCAAATTCTCTGCACATGTTAGATTGTCCATTTCTGCTCACAGAGTGGGATTTGTGTGCTGGGGGGTGTAGAGGTTGCCTGTAACAGCTTACAGCTGATTCCATAGCCACTATGAATGTATGTCAAGACAAATCAACCCTGGATGTATCCAGTCTTTGAACTTGCAGAAAGTTCATATCCATTTACCCCTTTGGGAATCATCTGTGTTTAAGTACATTCTAAATGAAAAACATTTTGCTGATCTATTAATTCTCATGTAAAAGAAAGATGCTACTACCTATATTTATGAAAGAAGCTTTTCAAGCAAATATTTTGAATATTTTGCTCTTTTTTGTTTCACTTCCTCTTACAGACTATGCATATGGTTTTGCTCCTCCTGATCCTTACAGTGATAATGCAAGTATATTCTTCCCTTGCAGCAACAATGTAAACTGCATATTACTAAGAGGATTTCAGCAGATACATATATTTTACCCTATAGCTTCATTTAAGTGTGAACAACAGAAACTGCAGTTAATTTCCCTTTGAGAATTCACTTGGTTCTAAACTAAATCCATCAGTGTTCATTTGCAGCAACTCCACGGCATTCCACTAGGCAAGTGTCACAAAGCTTAAGTTTGATTCCCAAGTCAAGTAATTCTTCATAGTATTACCATGGAGCTAGGTCTGCTGGATTGGTAATGTATCCTTCCCCCGAGACTTTCAGGGAAATTCGGAAGCCAAAAATTTACAGCAATATAGGGACTCCCTTTAACCATTAACAACAAGTAATTTGCAAAGAAGGATTTTACTGAAATGTCTGACAAGTAGGTAAAGTTACAGCATAATTTAGATCAAGCCTGTTACTACAAATAGTTCTAACTGCTCACATTTCTCTGCTCCTCCACCAATAATTAGGGTTTATCTGCTCTGTGCAGAACTAGTGACAGGGCCAGAGAAACTGTTTCAGCAGCTGGCTTTCATGAAGTGACCAGCTGACAGAAGATGAAATCAAGCTGCTTGGATGGGCAGTTAAAAAAAGGAGCCACATGTTTCATTTTGTAACATCTTGTGTCATTTTCATCGCTTCTTTCTAGCTTCACAGGCCATTTTCCAAAGATATGTTACTCTTCCAGCACTTGAAAGAAAAGGTACTCTGTTCACAGGATAAGCTTTTCTTATTTCTGACACTGGATGTATAGATTCTATGATGACGAACACAACAGAAAAGTAGGTTCCTCAAGAGTAGACCATTTAGATTAGATAAGGCTGATAGTCATTCTATTATATGAAATTCAGACTTGACCAGAAAATGGCAGGAATTTTATGTATAAGCCTTGTATTGTAAGGCGCTCAGATGTCACAACATGAAGATTAAATAAGTGAAAGAGATGAAGTGACAGGAATCCAATAATAACTGTTAGAAAATACTTTTTCTGTTGACACATTGTGCCACTCCTACAAGTTGGCAGCTGAAGTAGGCAATTATATCCGAAAGAAAATTTATCAAAATAAAACCTGTCGTTGGCTGTTGGAATTTTTCTAGCCCTCAAAAAAAGTGCGGTGGCTTTCTGTAAGCATGTCACAGCCTATGGATTAGTAGAAATAATATTTAGTAATATTAGAAATAATAATAATTAGTAGAAATAATATACGTTATATCAACAGTTCACTTTCAAGATTTAAATTAACTATATATCATTTGATGTGCCAAATAACTTCAGAAGAAATGAAAACACACAATTTTTGACAGCTCTATTAGACTTCTGCACTATAAAATGGCAGCCTTCTCCCAAGTCCCCCTAG